CCCCCCCGCTGCCCCGGCCCCCCGTGTACCCGCAAAGATGCACCCAGCTGACCACATGTCAATGGAGGTGGAGTAGAGCTTGGCCCCGAAGAGAACGTCAGGGGGCCGGTACCACAGGGTGACCACCTGGGGAGGGACGGGGACACTGGCACGGGGACACTGGCACGGGGACACTGGCACGGGGACACTGGCACGGGGCAGCCCCGGCCGGCTGGGCAGGGCAGCAGCCCCAGCCCCCCCAGGAGCTCACCTCGGCCGAGTAGCAGCGCACGGGGATGCCGAAGGCCCGAGCCAGCCCGAAATCCGCCAGCTTGAGCTCCCCGTTCTGGGGGGACACACGGGGTCAGCCTGGGGGGGGTCCCACCGCGTCCCCCACCCCGCAGGGACAGCGGCCCTGCTGCCTTCCCGTCACTGGGAACACGGCAGAGACGGCACAGACACCAGCTGGGACTGCCCAGGACACACAGACAGACAGACAGACAGACAGCCCCCATTGCCAAGCGCCACCCCCAAGCACAGCCCCGCTGGCAGGTGTGACTGTCCAGGACAGACAGACAGACAGACAGCCCCGCTGGCAGGTGTGACTGTCCAGGACAGACAGACAGACAGACAGCCCCGCTGGCAGGTGTGACTGTCCAGGACAGACAGACAGACAGACAGCCCCGCTGGCAGGTGTGACTGTCCAGGACAGACAGACAGACAGACAGCCCCGCTGGCAGGTGTGACTGTCCAGGACAGACAGACAGACAGACAGCCCCGCTGGCAGGTGTGACTGTCCAGGACAGACAGACAGACAGACAGCCCCGCTGGCAGGTGTGACTGTCCAGGACAGACAGACAGACAGACAGCCCCGCTGGCAGGTGTGACTGTCCAGGACAGACAGACAGACAGACAGCCCCGCTGGCAGGTGTGACTGCCAGGACGGACAGACAGCCAGCCAGCCAGCCCCGCTCGCAGGTGTGGCTGCCCAGGACGGACAGACAGACAGCCAGCCAGCCCCGCTGGCAGGTGTGACTGCCAGGACGGACAGCAGCACAGCCAGCCCCGCTCACAGGTGTGACTGCCCAGGACAGACAGACAGACAGACAAGCCAGCCCCGCTGGCAGGTGTGGCTGCCAGGACGGACAGACAGACAGCCAGCCAGCCAGCCAGCCCCGTGCCCGTGCCGCGCACCCGGTTGATGAGCAGGTTCTGCGGTTTCAGGTCGCGGTGCAGCACGTTGCGGCTGTGGCAGAAGGCGAGCCCCTTCAGCAGCTGGTACATGAAGGACTGCGGGCACGGCGGCTGCGTCAGCGCGGGCGGCGCAGGGCCCGCGCCCGGCCCCGCCACACCCACCTTCACGATCTCGGGGTCCAGGTCCCCGTTGCAGCTGTCAAAGTATTTCTTCAGGTCCTGGGGGGAGCGAGCGGTGACGCTCAGAGACCCCAGGGTCCCCGGTGCCCCCGTGCCCCCCAAAGCCCTGCTCGCAGGTGTGACTGCCCAGGACGGACAGACAGCCCCGCTGGCAGGTGTGACTGCCCAGGACAGCCAGCCAGCCAGCCCTGCTCACAGGTGTGACTGCCAGGACAGACAGACAGACAGACACACAGCCCCGCTTGCAGGTGTGACTGCCCAGGACGGACAGACAGACAGACAGACAGACAGCCCCGCTCACAGGTGTGACTGCCAGGACGGACAGCCAGCCCCACTGGCAGGTGTGACTGCCAGGACGGACAGACAGCCAGCCAGCCAGCCCCGCTCACAGGTGTGACTGCCCAGGACACACAGACAGACAGACAGACAGACAGCCCCGCTCACAGGTGTGGCTGCCAGGACAGACACACAGCCAGCCAGCCAGCCCCGCTCGCAGGTGTGACTGCCAGGACGGACAGACAGCCAGACACACAGCCAGCCCCGTGCCCCTGCTCACGCACCCGGTTGATGAGCAGGTTCTGCGGTTTCAGGTCGCGGTGCAGCACGTTGCGGCTGTGGCAGAAGGCGAGCCCCTTCAGCAGCTGGTACATGAAGGACTGCGGGCACCACGGGCGGCTCCGTCAGCGAGGGCGGCGCAGGGCCCGCGCCCGGCCCCGCCCCTGCGGGGATCCCTTGCGGGGACGGTGTCCCCACCCGCTGTGTCGGTGCCGGAAGCGGTGCGGACCCGCCCGGTGCCGCCCCGCCCCGGCGCGCTCCCGCCGTTCCGCCCCGCGGGGACGCGCAGACCCGCCCGGCGCGGCTGGACTGTCCGGTAAGAGCGGCACCGGCAGCGGGATCGCGAACGGAGGCGGTGAGGCTGGCGGGGCGCAGCACGGCTGGTCCGGTCCGGTCCCGGTGCCGGTCCCGTCCCGGTGCCGGTCCCGTCCCGGTGTCGGTCCCGTCCCAGTGCCCCTCCCCTCCCGGTGCCGCCCGTCCCAGGCGGTGCTGTCCCCGCTCCCCGCACGCTGCTCTCACCGAGCCCCGTGCATTCCGCTCCCTCCTCTCCCGCCCGCCCGCGGCAGCTCCGGTCCCGGTCCCGGTGCCGGTGCCGGTCCCGGTGCCGGTGCCATCCTGCCCCGCCCTGGCAGCCCCAGGTCCCGGCGCGGCCGCGGCTCTGCTTCCCCCGGTTGCTCCCCGGGGCCCTGCGGCGCTGGGGGGTTCGGGGGCTGTGCCGTGTCCCGGGACTCGGGGTCTCCCGGCACATGCTCCCGGTGCCTTGGCCCCTCCGGCGGCAGGGGGGCGATGCCCGGCCCGGGCACCCCCGGACCCCGGGACCCTCCCGGACAGCCCGGCACCATCCTCCCGGCCGGCAGCGACGCTGCCCGCTCCGCGGCACCCCGGAGCTCCGTGCGGGGCGGTCCCGGGGACGCCGGGCCCCGCTCTCGGGGTGCCGGGGGTCCCGGGGCAGCGGGCAGCCAGCGCCCCTCGCCCATGCTCGTCCCTCTCTTGCAGCCAGGCCGCTCCATGCGCTTGCCCCGCGGCGCCTGAGCCCCGCAGCCCTCGGCAGGTGAGTGACGCGGGCTGGGGTCCCGCCGCCTGTCCCTGTCACACGTCCGCAGCCCCCCGCTCCCCGCAGGGCTCCGCAGGAAGGGGTCTGGGGTCGTGCAGGCACGCTCCGCCGTCCCGCTGCCCCGGGACGGAGGGTCCGAGGGCCCGGGAGCCGCGCGGTGCCCGCCGGGGACCGGGCACTGCCCCTTGCGAAACAGCCGGGGTTGAGCAACGCCGGGCACGGCTCCAGCCCGGGGCTCTCCCGCGGCCCCGGAGCGCCCCGGGCAGCGGGCACGGTTCGGGCCGGGAGCAGGCTGTGCCGGCCGCCTTGCCCGTGCTGCCTCTCGCCAGCTGCAGAGACCCTTTCGGTCTTCGCTGCGGTGTCAGGATTTGGGGTCGCTCCCTAGTGGAATTAGGTTGGCAGCTCCCAGGGCTGCGGGAAGGGCTCCGTGCCTGCCCCGTCCCCCCTCGCAGGGGGCTCCAGCTGGGAACCTGCTGTCGAGCCCTTCGGGGTCGCTGCACCGCTTCAAGCGGTTGCCAAAAAACCGGGATTTGATCGTTCTAACGATGCGCTGGCACCGGCGCCTGCGCCCCCCCGCCGGCAGCCCTTCCGCCGGGCTCTGTACCTGCTTTGTCACCTGTCCCGGGCGGGCGGCGACGCTGCGGGAGGTGGGGCTGCCGCAAGGGTCCGGGGGACCCTCCGGGGGCCCCTCCTGTGCCCTGGGCAGGGCTGAGGGTGACCCAGGTGCCACCCTGCCGGAGAGCGCCGTCCCAGGCGGCGGAAGGGAGGGGACCGTGGGAGCCGGTCCCCGTGCTGTCCCCGTTTCAGCCCCCACAGTGGCAGGCTGTCATTAGCCGGGCCGGGGTGGCCGCAGGGGCCGGGCTGGCTGCCGAGGGCGCCGCGCCGGGCATTCCAGGGGCGCCGGGCCAAGGCGTGGGCACAGCCCTCGCCGAGGTGGGACCCTGCCCTTACGGAGGGGGTCGTGTCCCCTGTGTCCCCAAAGACGCCCGGGGCGGGGTGGCCACGGGAGCCGCGGCGAAGGACTTGGCAGAGCCTCACTGTTTGGAGCCGGGGCTGCTCCGCGGAACAAAGGCTCGCGCTGCCGCCGCTGCTCCCGCGGCTGCTTTTCCTCCGGAGCCGGTACAAAACTGCGGGCAGCGCTCGGCAGCTCCGGGCACGGCGCCGCTGCCCGCGCTCCTGCCCCGGAGCGGCCTCGCCCCTGCCGGGCCGGGGGTCCCGGTGCTGCCCGCCGGACCGGACCCCGGCCTGGGGGTGGGAGCGGCGGGAGCCTTGGCTGGCCGGCTCGGCGGGTGATGGGGTGAGTGGGGCGAGCCTGTGCGGGCACCGGGGCCGGCACAGCGGGAGCGGCACCGCCCCGGGGGCTCCGACAGCCCAGGGTGGGTGGGTGGGCGCCGTCCGGCCCTGCCGCAGGTGACACTGTGGCTGTCCCTGTGCCAGACCACCGCTCCACGGTATCCCACCCTGCAGGGATCAAAGTGTCAAGGACTGTGCGGGCAGCTGTGGCTGTCCCCTCCTGGGGCTGGCATGGGGACAGTGGCAGGGGTGGGGACAGTGGCAGGGATGGGGACAGTGGCAGGAGGCTCTTGCAGGTCTGGTGCTGCATGGGGGGGTCCTGGCCTCTCTGGGGTGGCAGAGGGTGCCCTGGCACATCGGTGACAGTGGCAATGACAGTGGTAGCGGCACCATGTGGGTGCAGAGCTGTGACTCATCTCCAGATCCGGTGGTTTTGAGGTCGTGGGCAGGGGGGCGGTGAACATTTTTGGTGTTGGTTTCTGCTCAGCGTGTGAAGCTCTGCTGGGTGGCAGCCAGTGGTGCCTGGCCCGGCTCTGTCCCGTGGTGACGAGGGGCTGCAGGCTCCCAAGTGCTTCTGCTGGGTGGGGTCTGGGGGCACACTGGGTGCCAGTGACACCCGGGGGTCTCCCAGAGCAGCCAGGTGAGGCTGGGCAGGGAGCAAGGGGCTGCAGGGAGATGGGGGGTGGGCATCTTTGGGGCACCCACTGGGGCTCCCCCATTCCAGGGTGCAGGGAACTGGGGGTCTCCTGACTTCTCTTTTCCATGGACATGTCTGCCCAGGCGAGGGGCACAGCCTGAGCCGTGCTGGCCTCGCCCCAGCCATTCCTCCTGCCTGGCACACGCCGTGCTGGAGGGTGCTGCCAGCAGGGAGGCCACAACAGACACGGTGTGCTGTTCCTTGTCACCAAGGGGGCGGCTGGTGTCACCGCCAAGGCTGGGGAATGTGCTACGGGGGTCTCCATCAGCCTTGATGCCAGTGTGAGCACCATCATGGGTGGCACATGTGTGTGCAGGAGATGTTCTGGCAGGAGCCATGCTGGTGGGGGTACTGGCATGAGAGGGGGCAGGAGGACACTTGGTGCCCTGGGGGTTCCCCACCCCGAGTCTTGTCTCTGTCTCATGGGGTTTTGGCTCTGAGCTATGGACGTGGTAGTCCTGCTGTGGATGTGTGACCTGGCTTCCCAGGACGTGGGTGTCCTGGCTGTGATTGTCCAGGATGTCCTGTTGTGGCTGCCCAGGATGTGATTGTCCCAGTACAGATGTGGCTGTGGTTGTCCCAATGTCCAGGACATAGTTGTCCAGGTGTGGACAGGTGTATCCCGGTGTGAATGTTGTCCCTCTTCCCACCGTGCCAGCCCGCTGCCCCGGTGCCGGGGGTGCCGGAGGTGGGTCCCGGCACAGCCTGGGTCCAGGAGCTCGTGGGCCCTCTGGGGCAGCCCCGAGGCAGTGTGGGGCCAGGGCCGAGCCCTCTAATCGCCTCAGCAGCTCAGGCAGGCCAGGGCCGGTCCCAGGAATGTGACTCCGGCGGCGCGGGAGTGGCCGTGGCAGCGGCAGGTCACTCCCGGCGCTGGCAGCCGCCCGGAGCGCGGTCCTGCCCCGCTTACCGGGGCGGCCCGGCCTCGCACGAGGGGCCATTGTGCCGCGGGGCGCGGCCGGTGGCAGTGCCAGCGCCGGCGCTGTCACGGTGCTGTCGCCCGTGGCCTCGGCTGTGTGTCCTGGCCCTTCTGCCCGGCAGGAGGGCGAGGTGGCGGCACTGCAGCGGTGACGGTGGGACTGTCCTGGGGCGTCTGCTCTGGAGCCGTCCCCCCATCGCAGGGTGCCGGAGCGTCCCGGGAGTGGGGTTGGCCGCGGGGCACCGATCAAGGCTTGTTCTGGCCCCGTTCCACCGGGCTGGTGCGAGCGCTGAGCCGTTCCCGGCCACTGCTCCTCCGTGACTCAGCGGCTGCCGTGGAAAGCAGAAGTGTCCCCCCGTGCCCCCCCAGCTGTCCGTCATCCTTTCCAGCGGGGTCATGCCCCTGGCTCCCGGAGGCCACATGTCCCCAGTGTCACCATCCTGCCGGGCCCCTGCTGTGGTGCCTGGGGGCCAGGACCCCCTTTTTTGGGTGTTTTGGTGAAAGCACGACGTTCCCGAGAACAATCCCAGTGTGTTCCCAAACTAATCCCGAGCTGCCCACGAGATTAAGCCCAAAAAGCTGCTTAGTGCCCACAGCGGCGACACCGTGCCATGCCGGCGGCCCGGCACCCGGCGAGGGGGTGGCCCAGCCCCACGTCCCCCCCCGTGGGAGGGTCCCGTCCCGAACCGGGGGGTTGAATGCTGGCGGCGGCTTGGCGGGCGCCCCAGGAGAGCGGCGTGGCAGGGCGGATAATCTGCCTGCTGGAATGTGGATGTGCTGGCTCCGGCCCCGGACGGGAGCGGGGATTAGGGAGAAGCCGGAGCAGGGTAGCACCGAATTTCGGGAGTAGGTGGGATTCAGGGCTGCGGTGAGGCTCGGAGCCGCAGCCTCGGCGTTCCACTGAGGCGCAGCTCCTCGAGCCTCACCACGGCCACCGTGCTGGCACCCCGGCGGTGACGGTGACGGCGATGCCACCCATGTGAGACGCAGTCATCCGTCACCACCCTCCTCGGTCCCCCCCGTCACGTGGGCCACCTCCCGTGGCAATAAACGCGGCACGCCGGTGCCAGAGGGGTCAGCGCAGGGCCCCGGGAGCTGCCAAGGGGCAAACGTGGGTGGAAGCTGGGTCGGGGAA